CCAGTTTAAATCTTTTGTCAGTGTAGCCACTCTGTGCATTTGATAGTGACCTATAGCTGATGAAGGCTTATGCTTTTTAACTAAAATTTGTCTTTAACAAAAAAAAGTTATAAAAAGCATAACTAGTTTTTTGCCATCGTACATTAACATGGTTTTCCAACAACATATTAGTCTTAGTGTTTGTGAATCTACTTAACTCTGTCTTCATTTTAGGAAATGGAATGGCAACTTTAATGTAACAGAGCTTAGAAATATCTGACTAGCCAAGTGTTGGCTGTTAGGCTTTGAAAAGACTTAATGATTCCTTTCTAAATTGTTGATTTCTCTGCTACCCAGCCATTGATTATATTCAATTTTTGCACAAAGAAAAAAAGAAGCAAGAGGAAGAGGTATCCACTCTCCGGAAAGATGTGCTGGCCTTAAAAATCATGAAAGTGTAAGTCTTGTGCATTTGTATATTGATGTGATATTAGACTAAGAGCAGGAAGACCTATGTTTTAATTACCTTCAGCCATAGATGGTGACAGGGTGACTTTCTTAGCTCAGTCACAGCTGTGGTTTTCAGGAAAAATAGGAAGGAATGTTACATATGTTATCTTGAATATGTATGCCTCCAGAGAGGAGGAGGAGACAGACAGACACTTTTAGTTCAACAGTAAATTCCATTCTGTCTTTGTATACGTTTTGTGGTCATTATTTATTGTTCCAGCTCTTCCATCCTGTCCTTGAGAAATGTTTACTCTGCAAAATGATTATCAATTTATTATTCCAGATATAATTATTCCACGTTTCCTGCTAAGTTAACTAATCACATATATGCATTTCAGAAACTATGAAGACATTGTTAAAGCTCATCAGGACAATCCCAGTGAAGGAAAGAATCAGATCTCTGACCAAGTGAAGTTCAATGTTTTCCAGGGTATCATGGACTCCTTGTTCCAGTCCTTTAATGCCTCAATCTCTGTGACAAGCTTTCAGGAGCTCTCAGCTTGTGTTTTCAGCTGGATAGAAGAGCACTGTAAGCCACAGGTAATTCCAGAACATAAGAACATATGGCCAATATCACATGTAGGAAAAATATACTTGATTTGCTTGTTGAAGCTTTCCTGGATTCAGAGATAATCATATAAAAAATAATGTGGATATCCATTGCTGTCCCTTAAATAATAATAGTCAGCTTCTCTGGCTGGCTTTTGTGCTGAATAAACAGCCTAACAGTGACAGATGATCATGTTTTTCACAGAAAAGTACTCTTAGCATTGCTTAGGACAGGGGTGTTAAACTCAATTTCATTGAGGGCCGCATCAGCATCATGGTTGCCATTGGGGGGCCACGTGGGTGTGGCTGGCATGGGCGTGGCCTACTGGGTGAGATGTGGCTGACACAGGCGTGGCCTATTTGGTGGGCGTGGCCAGCTTGATGTCACTCATGCCAGGGGCACTTGTGCGGGCCTCCGCAGGACTGGGGCGCATCCGAGACTGGGGAAGGGTGGGTGGGACCGGGGCGAGCGCCAGGCATGGTCCACTGGAGGAGCCTCACTGAGCCTCAGGCTGTGCATGAGGTCAAGCGCCCAGCCCAGTCCTTGAGCTCCCACAGCATCAGAACCCCACAGCCCTGCCTAGCCCAGCTGCACTTACCTCCTCCTCAAGGCTGCTGCTGTTGTGCTCACTCTCCTTGGTCAGGTTGCTCATGGTGGGTGCAGGAGGACAAAGTGCGTGGGTCAGAGGGAAGCCCACTCCCTTTCCATGCGAGGAAACCTGGCTTTGTAGCCAAAGCATCCTCAGCAATAGGATGGGAGACCACCAGGGGATGGCAAAAGGGCAACAAGGCTGCGGGTGGCCAACTGCTAAGGCGGGACTTCCCTCAGACCCTCCCTCTTATTCCGATCCCCTCCCTCCCTCCTCTCCTTTCTTTCTTCCTTTCCTTCCTCTCTCCCTCCCTTTCTTCCCTGCCTCCCTCCTTTTCATTCCCATCTCCTTTCCTTCTATTACTTTCTTCCTGTTTCCCTCCCCTCCTTCCCTCCCTCCTTCTCTGTACCCAGGAAGGGACGAGGGGAGGGGGAGAGGTTGGCAGCACTTCTCTCAAAGAATAAGAGTTGGAAGAGTTGGAACACTGCTATCATGTCACCACCCCTAGTCCTTTTCACTAAGCTAGACATACCCAATTCCCACAAATATTTGTCATATGTTTTAGCCTCCAGCCCTAATCATCTATGTTTACCATCCATTTAGACCAGATGGTCCCCCTGGTTTGGTTTATAGAACAGTGGCCACAAGCAGAGCCTTCTCAGAGACAGCACCCCCATTGTAGAATATTCTCCCAAGGAAAATATGAACAGTGCATCCCTCACCCATTTAGAGGCACCTCCAAACACTGTTCAGCCAGAAATATGTAGAACAACACCACATTTTATGGTCATACAGCACTAAGTAAATTACTACTAATATTTTTCTTTCTTAAAATACACACTTTTAATATTGTTTTAAGCAGTGCTAGTGATGCTTTACAATAGATGTCTTTGAGAGTTTTCTTGTAAACCACCCTGGATTTCTCAGAAACTTTTAATTTCAAATTAGATGTTGATTTAATAAATTAGGCAGAAGAAACACATTTTTAAATACATCTAAATCCCACAGACCTACTGCCTCCTAGGCGCACACCGCAGAGAAAATAAGGCATTGCATTTCTAGCCAGCATAGCCACAGGATGATGGGAATGTGGTTTATGACACCCAAAATATATAAGTTTGGATAAGGCTGGATTAAATTATAAAAGAGCAGATGAAGGGAAGTATTTTTGTCTCCGACAAAATAATTGGGGGGGGAGTTGACTTGGCCTTTTAATTTCAACTCTCACCAATTCTGCTTAACTTCCCATTCAATCCAAAGAGTTCTATTATTGCCTGGATTTTAGGGAGGGGAGGAGGCAAGAATAGACCACAAAGCTAATCTGCAAGTTTGCTCTCTCACCTGCCTGCACACCATCTTCCCGTGTGTGTGTGTGTGTGTGTGTGTGTGTGTGTGTGTGTGTGTGTGTGTGTGTGTGTGTGTGTGTGTGTGTGTGTG